GGTCCAGGAACGCCGGTGTCCCCGCGGCCCGTCCCGGCGTCTCACCCCGCCCCGTTCGGTTCTTCCCCCTAGGCCATGCTGGTCAGCAAGAGGCTGAAGCGCTTCTTGCAGCTGGTGCCTGGGAAGAAACGCTTTGGCGTGTACAGGTTCCTGCCCTTCTTCTTCGTGCTCGGTGGAGCTATGGAGTGGTTCATGATCAACGTGCGCGTCGGCAAGGAGACCTTCTGTGAGTGCGGGGCCTGCCCGGGCTCCGCTGGCCCCGCGAGCCCCGGGGGCAGATCCCTCAGCACCGCGTTGTCGGGGTCAGGCCGTGTGTCCTCCGGGCGAGGAAGAGCAAGTCATTCCCTTCTCCTGTCCGTGCAGGCTGTGACGCTCCAGGCTCTGCCTCCCTAGCAGAAAAGACTGAGCAGAAACGAACCAAAACCAGGGTCCAGAATGCTAAACTAGATTTTGGCTGAAAGAGGGCAGGTTTAGGATGTTAGGAGAAGTTCTTCCCCGTGAGGGTGGTGAGACACTGGCACAGGTTGCCCAGAGAAACTGTGGCTGCCCCAGCCTTGGGAGTGTTCCAGGCCAGGTTGGATGGTTCTTGGAGCAACCTGGGCTAGTGGAAGGTGTCCCTGTCCATGGCAGAGGGTTTGGAATGAGATGAGCTTTAAGGTTCCTTCAACCCAAACCATTCTATGGTGATGGGTTTTTTTACATTGGAAAAAGTTCATGAGACTTATCAGAACGTCAATGTAGGTGTGGGGCGATCCGAAATATGATTTTTACAATTAAAAATATAAGTATGAAAATGAGTCATGAGAACTTGGCTAATGATGTTTAGTTTCTATAAGTTAAGGCATTTATTTCTAATATGACATTCCTCCCCTTAATAAACCTTGCTGGAAGTTTTTATGTACTTCAGAAAAAGGATCAGCTCTACTGTATATTATACAGGACTATTCTCATTTTCATAGGAAATCTTGTCTCCTGTACCATAAAAGAGCTTCATACAGTTTCCATAGCTGACAAATCACTACAAATAAAATTTCTTTTCTGCTCACTGCTGGAGGCTTGGGCTTGGTGTGGATTTTCAGTTGTATGTTTCTGAGGCATAACAAAGTCAAGTTAGGAACTAAAGCACAACATCTGTGTAGCAGATTATATTTCACCTTGAGCCTTGTTTTCCTGAAAAAAAGAACAAAAAAAATTGCTAGACCTAATGATGCTACAGTACAGCAATAATCATTGTGCAGTTTAGCCTTATAATTGCCTCATAATCCAAGCAAGGTGGCAATGTACAAGACTGATAACCTCTTTCTTTTGTCACTGAGGGGTTTTATTTGGCAATAGATATGTAGTGGGATCAGGGTAAGGATTGAAGGATACATGAGAAGACCATGAAGGTGGGAATATTCCTGTGTTTTGTGTATATAAAAAGGACTAAACTAGTGCAGCCAGGCTGGCAGCGCTGAGGCTCTGACTCTGTGCCTGTAATTTAATTTCCCTTTGGCTTCAGCTAGTTGGGGCATTTGTATTTTCAGTTACCCTCGTGGGAAAGTAGGCAAGAAATGATTCTAAATTTCCTGTAAAAACATTTCATTGGGACTGACGGGAAGAACTTCAGCCTGAATGGGACAGAGAACATGAGCTATTTTAAGTGGTAACGAGGATTTGTGTTGGCTTGAATTTTCAGTTGCCAGTCAGTCAGTCTGCAGGAGGAGTTTGGATTGGAGAGTTTAAAGAGAGGTGACAGAGTTCATCTGTGTAACACCATCTCGCGCTGGGAAAATGCTAACGTAACTAATCCTGTTCTGCAGATGATGTTTACCGCAGGAAACAATCAGAAAGGCAGTACGAGGCACGGATGAAGAATGAATTGTAGCTGGAACATTTCAAGGGGAGGTCCTGAGTGCTTCAGCTGCATTAATGCCAAAGCAGCATTACTGCCACGTCGGTGCTGGGGAAGGATGTTGGCTCTGCAAGATGAACTGTACTCCACACGTTCGTGTAACACACTCAGATGGTTTGGGCAGTTTTCTTCTTCCGTATCTTTAACATTCTGTATTTGAATCAAGTGCAATAGTGAAAGTTTCATTGTGTTTGGGCCTCTGCCACTAACTGAAGGTTTTCTTAGTACTTTTAAATAAACTAAACTGAATAAACAGTCTGGCTAATGCTTTTCTTTGCTTCTTGAAACACTGTTCTTGTGACAAGACCACTGTCACATAGTGCATCCTTCTCAACACAAAGGAAATAGTAATTTTTAGTTAGTTTCCTTAGTACTGACACAAACTGCTCTGGCATCTGATGCTCTTTCCAGTGTGGCATGATTTTAACTAGATAAAAAGAGCACAGACTTACTGCTCAGTGTTGGCTCAGCCTGCAGTGCATGGAAAGTCACCACTCTGCTGCCCACAAGTACTGTTAACACCCTTTGGTGCTGCTCCAGCAATGACCTGGGGGGAAGAAGTCTGGGGCATGTACCAGGTCCCAGAGCAATGTGCAGCGTCAGTCCTAGCAAACCTGAGTCCTGTCTGTAGGACTCCTGTCCCCACAGCAGGAGAACGGGGCTGACTGCTGTTACCTGGGCAGTGTTTGCTCCCTGACAGTGGCAGTGGCTCTCAGGGGACTGAGCATCAGGGTGGGTGATGTAGTGTGATCAGTGAGAATCATCTGTTAATGCAGTTGTGTTGTTTCTGGTGGTCTGTCTGTGTGCTGAGGGTGCTACAAAGAAGCCCAATCTGACCAGCCCAAAAACAAACCCGAGGGAGTTCACATACTTACATGCATTCCTGTGCCATCTCCTGACAGCCTTTACGCCTTCATCAGCTGAAGAGACAGTGACTGCTCTGAAGATGCTGTGGTGCAGGTACTCAGCTTGCAAGCACGGGGTAACCACTGTGCTTTGTGTTGTGCCTTCCAAGGACTTGATCTGGAGGATTAGTGCTACTTGTGTTTTCAGGAGATAAAACATGACAGAATTACAGTTCTGACCGTGCAACTGCATATTTTGACTGGGCAGCAAGTGGAAAGGAAACTATTTCAGGAATAGTAAGAACCTTTGCTTTTGGTTCCAAGGTAGAGCTCAAGTTCAAGCACTTGTGCACAAGTTTCTTTTTGCAGTCACAGATCACTGAGGTCAATCCTGATTGCAGCAGTACATTAAAGAACAACATATTAATAAAAAGCCAGGTTTTGAAAATTACTGAGCTTTAGCTCCATCTGCTTTTACTTCTTGGGCCTTTTGGAACTCTGGTGTCTGGTTTTCATAGAACAAGTAAGTTTTCCAGTATCTTTGGGGTTTCTTTAAGAAAAAGTCCCGTGCCCCACTTGTTTCTCAGGACTCTGGAGCCCGGTGAGAAAACATCCTGTGGCTTTCCTTAAGCACTCCTATAATAGCAGGAGTGTTCCACAGACATCAGTGAGCCAAGCCCAACGTTTCAGTTCAGACCTCTCGGTTGTTTTGCAGCGACTGTTTCCCATTTGCAGCTGCAAGCATCAGGCACACCTGGAAGATCTCTGGGGTGTCTCCAGCTAGGTAAACAGGGAGGGAGGCTGCAGTGGCTCACAAGTCTGGTGTCAGGGAGTGCTGTGTCCCACTGCTGGAATAAAATCCTTCTCCAAGTTGGCATTGTACCATTTCAGACAACACAGATCTGTTTTGACAGAATATGAAGTTTGACGTTTAGAAACCTGAGCTGTATTCTCTGTTCCACAATGTGTTTGCTAGTGCTGACTCTTTGGCATTCTTGGATTTTGCCAGTCTCTCACTAAAGCTGGAAGTAAGAGTAGCTGCAAGGCCTCACCCCAGAATTTCAGCCCATTCCAGAACCAAGCACTTGGGGATTTAGTGTCAGTTTTGATCCACACCCAATC